TATTTCCAGTGGCAGAAATTTACTGTGTTGTTTCATGTTAAAAGTTACTGTGGGACTTTGAAGTAATATTCATTAGACAAATCAACAAAGGTATTATTTGATTAATGATGATAGGGTAATTTTAAGAGATAATGGCAACTTTTGGTGGGCCTGCTGCAAATCCATTATTTTTATGGCCATTAGGTTTTGCTATGTTGAAACATGCATTAAAGATAACCTTTTCATGTACAGTAATAACTAACAGAAAGTATTGGCTGTAATCCTAGACCAACCTTCAAGGGCTCTTGAATGCAGTAAGAATTACTTTTGAGTAGATATGTACAGTATAGGATTGTCTTGTAAGTGACTGACAAGTTACATTTCTTATATTAGCAATACAAATAAGATAATCCTAAAACAGAAAACTTGGTTGGTGATGGGTCAATGGGAGAAAATATGTATAATTCATTTAATGCAGGGGTGTCAAACTCGATTTCATTGAGGGCCACATCAGGGTTGTGTTTGATCTCGGGGTGTGTGGCCAGGGTGGGCATGGCCAGCTTGACGTCATTCGTGTCGAGGGTGCCTGTGGAAAGCCGAGTGCTCTGCCAGTGAAAACGGGCTCCCAAGCTCCGTTTCCGGCTGCAATGGCCACCTGCAACCCTCTGCCAGCGAAAATGGAGCTCCATTTTTGCTGGCAGAGGCACCGCTGTTTCCCTATAGTTTTAGTTAGCTTTGTGATATGACTTGAGGTTCCCCAAACATAGTCCATCTTCTGATTACAGTATATTTATTTAGAGAACAACTAATATTATTGAATTAAGAAAATAATAAAAGGATTAAACTATAGCCTGTATATGCTTGGACTTAACAGAAACTTTCTTTGTTATTTGCCCAAGGCAAACGATTTACATTACTTTATAGTAGTTTCTTTGAAGTATGAATTAATTGGGATGGAATATTAATTACAGTTGAGTTTAGGCATAGCAAGTCCATGCCTGATTTCTAATATCCTCAGAAATGCTTTTTTAATTCATAAGAAAATGAAGCCTTCTCCACTGATATGACTAGTGATTCTTTTTGTTCAATCAACGAAAAAGCAAACTTTTACATACAGCACATTTAGTTAGCCCAGATATACCACATCTATTGAAGAGTTTGTGTAATTGCAGTTACAGTTATTGATGCAAGTGTAGCTCTCTTAACAGAGTTATAAATGCTATAGATTTGCAAAAATTCAATAACCGGATTATTTACCTCTACAACACCATTGATGCATTTACTTTTATCCTGTCTCTTGGTTCCATCCACTCATAACTTTCCTGGTCTTTCTCTTCCTTTCAGTTCATTCTCTCTTCTTTATATATTTGTTTTCTGACTCATGTCTCATTCATTCTCTTTATAAAACTGAATAATTTCAATGTACTTCTTTTGTCATGATTACTAACTTTTGTATTTCAGCCACTTTCATACTTCACCCATTCATCCTTGACCCTTTCTCTTCTTATTTTATTATATACATTTTAAAATCACTCCTTTCCCTTTGCATTCCACATAATTTTATGTTTTTTCCTGATATACTCAGCTCTTGCTTTGACTTTGTAAATCTTAGAATCATCAATCCGGATTGATTTTTAATGTTAAAAGGCAAAAAAACATATCAATAAACATCAGCATAATGCAAACATATACTGTATTGCTAATTGTAGCCAAAAGCAGGAAAAGCTGATTTAATAAATAGATAAGTGGACTGAACTTGAATTAGTACAGCAAAGCTAGGTTAGATGAAAGTTGATAATCCAGAGCAAATCCAATTAGGCACAATGTCTATATCTTTAAATTATGGCAATTAAAAAGAATATGGTTTTAGTGGAATTTTAATTCTTCTCTGAGGGATTAAACGTACCAAAGAAGCTATTACAACATATGTAACTGATTGTACTTTTTAAATGATTCTAAATTATCAGCATAAGAGTGGCTCCAGATTTTGTTGAAAGAGAACATAAATTAGAGCCACTCCTTGCGCTGATCATTTGTCTAGGATGAGGTGGATATGGTTACAAGCATAAAGATATGCTTGAGTTTTAAGAGTGAGGCATATGGTATGGATTTAAGTGTTAAATAAAAAGAAAAATATTTATTTTTAATGACTAATTTTATCTTGGAACTTTCCCACAAATATGATGTTAAATGTTAAATAATTTACTATATCCGATGAATTTATTATACTATTGATCTGCTAGTGTTTTCATGTGCTCAAAGAACCAGTAAGAAGCCTTTTGGCTTTTGTATTTTCTTGTTAAGAAAACAACAAATGTTCTTCAGAGAATTTGCTTATTACTGTGAGTCAGAGGTCTCATAGTTGATGGCTATAGATGTCACAAAATTTGATGATGATGATCTCACATTGAGAGGCTGGATTTTGAAACATAAAATCTGAAACCCTTTAACAGATGTTCATCAGTAAAACCTGTTAAGAGCAGTTAATCCTCAGTTAACATGTTCAGAGTATTAGCTGCTTAAACAACTCTTGTTTTGACTTGGTTTTTAACAGATTACAATTTCAGTGTTTGGCCACATTGTTAAAAAAAAACTGGGATTTGTTTAAAAGGGTTTTTTTTAATCTCCTTTTTTAAAACAATGTCAGTTTATTTTTATGTAGAGGTCTAAAGAATCTAATTAGGAAATGAACAAAAAGTCTATATTACATTTTGCACAATTTAGTAAATTTTTGAAAAGTATACTGTGGGACGAAGTAAACGTGCACAGAATTGTGCTGGTCATAAAATGAATGAATATATGTACTAATTAAAACAACCATTACTGTATATGCACTTCACCCTAGATACTTTTGTAGCGTCTTGTGTTCAGAGGAATACTATTGTGCACACAGATTGCACGTGTATGAAAGCTTTTCTCCCTTGAGTTTAGCATCTGCAACACCTCGAAATACAAGTGGCAATTCTGTCGGTTAGCATTTCTGACTCAGGAACACACATATTTGGACAGGAGCCAGAGGTAGAGGTTACTATCCTAAACGTATTAACTAGTGAATCAATGAATCAAACCCAGTAGTACTTACTTCATGATATACACACTTAGCATTGCAGTGATGGAGTAACGAGCAGTCTATTTTCTGGTATAGTTTACATGCTAGTTCATTGCCTTCACCGAGGCAAGCAATTCAATTGTAAACACATTTCAACTGATTCCTAGTTTGTATGTAACTAGTAGTGGGTTGCAACTTACAGACCATGATTCTCAAGTCTTTAAATCTAACACATATCATTTATTTTGAAGAGGTTGCACAATGTAGCATTTAAATGGGGGCAGTTTTTGTACTTATTAAGTAAATCCGACCAACTCTTAAAGCCACACGTTTCTAATTATTATTTTAAACAAAGACTTCTGATGATTGTAATGGGTACTAAAAATGCTGCACTTATTATTCTTTTCTGAGAACAATTCTTTTTTATTCTGATATTACCCCCATAGAGTCTATAAGCCAAAATGTTCCCAGAATATTTCCTAGGAATGCGGTAGATTTAAATAGCCTAAAGTTTTCCTTTCAAATCACTAGCAAAATAAACAAACCCCAAACCAGATAGCATTCAATAGATGGCCAATTTTAAATGTAAGAATAATAATAATACGGTACTGTACCTGATTATCCTGATGCCCATCCAACAGCCACGCTTCCTGCAACTGAACTTTACTCTGCCAGAGCTTCTATATTAAACACCTTCATCTTTTTCCTTTTTTTTTTTTAAACGTATGTCAGTACAAGCCCAGGCAAACTTTAAATCCAGCAAAATAAAATTAAACACACACATCAAAGGCAGGCAAGCAGTGAGACCAAATGCCTGTAATCTGATCAGTGATCTGTTGCTGTACATCAAAGGCTGAGCTTTGGAGACAAGCGAGAGAGAGAGAGAGAGAGAGAGAGAGAGAGAGAGAGAGAGAGAGAGAGAGGGGGGGGGGAGGGGAGGGGAGGGGAGGGGAGGGAGGGAGAGAGAGAGAGAGAGAGATTGCTTTCTTTTTAGCAGCAAATAATACTGCGGCTTCCTCTTTTTCTTACATACATTTAATAAAAACTTATCAGTGTAGGTCAACTTACCCGCCTTCCTTTTTTTCTTGGAAAGGGAAAAAAAATCTGTCTTTCTTGGATTTGAATAGCTGGGTCTATAACCGATCTTTTCTTTTCTTCCTTTTCCTTTTCCTTTTTTTTTTTTTTTCTTTTTTTTTTGTTCTCAAGCTGTGCTCCTCACGGATTGTGTGTTGGAAGTTTTCCCCAGTGCCAGCGGGTTCCGCTTAATGCCTTTCATCTTGCTGAACTGATCCCATGACATCATTCAATGCTGTGGGACTGGTTAGAGAACTATAATACAGCCCTGTGGGGAAACACAGCTGAACTGCAGCAAGAGTCGGTGTGGTTTTTAATCGAGTTAGCTGTTGTAAACAGGGCAAGAAAGAACTTTCTGCTGTTTTGGAGTTTTCATATGAATTTGCAGAAGGGTTGGTCCACTTGAAATGCCCTTGTAGGATGGAGTTGTCTGTTCACGTTCAAGTAAGGGCATTCGCTGGCATGGTGTGTGACTTCCATACGAATTTCCCACACAGACCAAAAGGAAAAACTTGTCAGAGATTTGCAACAGCTGCCAAAAAAATACTACTGCAACCAGCAAAAGATTTTTTTAAAAAAACAACAAACAAACAACGTATATAAATTCCCACCCTTAACTCCGGTAGACTTTTATAACTATCTTTATAAGCTTCAGATAGTTATGCTTCTTTAAATTTGGTTGGAGGATTTTGTTCAGAATAAGTCTTGCAACCAAATTCTATGCGTACCTTGATCTGAGTGCCCTTCTTGCTGATTTGTGGCAAGGAAACCTGATCTTTATTTTCTCTCCTTCAAGCTTTATTGCGTTGGGGAAGTGTTCCGCCGTGTTTGTCTGTGCACTTCAGCCAAGTGTGGTTTCGAATGGAATGTTTGCTTTGGTTCTTCCTTTGGTGATGCCCAAATGGCCTTTGCACAAGGGGCTGCATCTGGATATGAAAGTACTAATTTTGGCCATAGAGTAATAAGCATAGGGACAGGAAGCATGTGATATCTTTGTCTGTAGCCATTCTAAGCCCCACCTTCTCAAGAATTAAAAAAAAGTCCATTCTTCCTTCTTGGAGAAGGAAATCACATGAACCACAAATCTCTTTGTATATTGAAGGGGGAGGACAGTGGTGCAATCCAAATTTTTTTACTACTGGTTCTGTAGGCATGGCTTGGTGGGCGTGGCTTGGGCATGGCAGGGGAAGGATACTGCAAAATCTCCATTCCCACCCCACTCTGGGGCCAGCCAGAGTGGTATTTGCCGGTTCTCTGAACTACTCAAAATTTCCACTACCAGTTCTCCAGAACCTGTCAGAACCTGCTGGATTTCACTCCGGGTGAGGATCTATCCTTCTTAAGATGGCACCCTAGTTTTGAATTATAGGTTGAACGTTATTTATGATTCTGTCCGTCTGCTGGATTTATTTATTTTTATTTATTTGTTAAACAAATTTTTGTGGCCACTCAACTCACACATGGTGACTTCGCGCAACTTACAACATTAAAATTTCACAATGTAAGAATCCATAATCCCCCACTCCTGGTGGTGGCAACCACAGAATCATACCAGACACTTGATCGGCTCTACCGGTATATTCACCTGGACTTCTTGTCTCACTGAAAGAGCCATGTCTTTAGGGCCTTTTGTAAAAATCTCAATGTTGAAGCCAATCTTATTTCCTAGGGGATGGTATTCCGAAGGCAGGAAGCCATCACAGGAAAGGCCTTTTCTTTGGTCCAATTAGATGTACTTTCTGAATAGATGGGACTTGCAACCTATCTTTCTTTTCTGCTCTGGTGGGCTGGGTAGATGCAACTGGGGAAGGCAGTCCTTCAAATAGTTTAGATTTTGGATCAAATAATTTAGATTAGGGAATGTTGATTCAGTCTCACCGCAAATTCTACAGGAAAAGAGAGAAAAGGCCACATGCGATATGTAAAATAGATTATCATTAGAAACAGATTAGGAAATAATATGATACAATATGAACTCTGATACATAAGATCGTATTTGAAACAGTGTGTATTGTTTTGATCATCTTGTCTAATTAAATGCATTATAGTGAAAGAAAATGGAAGCACATTGTGGACATCCTAAACAAGTAACAAAGTAGTGTTCTTTTTATTTTTGGTGCTTTCAAGTCAGGTTTAACTCCCGGGCAAGTCCCTGAAGTTTTCTTGACAAGATTTTGGAATCAGTTTGCCATGGCCTTCTTTCTAGGGCTGAGAGGAGAGGCCTGAAGTCACGTAGTTGCCTTGTGCCTTAGGCAAGACTAGAATTTACGGACTCCTGATTTTTAGTCTGGTGCCTTGACCATTACTGGCTCTTGACCTGTTACATTATTACTCTTATAACCTCTCAACCCTGACTATGCTGACTAAGGATGAGATCTACAGCACGTTTGGAGAGTGGCAGATTGAGTACCTTTGGTGTAAACAAAGCATTTTACTATTTCATTAGGATCACTTGATAAGACAGCAGATGCTGACAGACAAAAATAAAGCACTTCTCATGATATGTTAATTAACAGAATCTGCTGCCACAAGATATGAAAGTGGTTAGTGTCTAATGCCTTGAGAAGATATCACTGAAACTTAAAACTCATAATAATCTTTAGATTATGAAGCAGTATGCCCTAAGTACTGGGATTGAGCAATATACCATTTGAATGCCAGTGCTTCATATGTTGCTGCAGTACTAAAAATGGTCTCACAGGTTTTTATGAGGGTGCGTGCCCATGCGCAGATAATACGTTGAGATACTTCTCAAAGTGGTTTTGCACAGCCCTACTAATAAACAGCTTCTAGTGAACAGCAATGAGATTTAAAGCTCTGTCTGTGGGCTTTCTGAGGGCATCTGATTGGCTGTTGTGGGAAACATGCTGGATCCAGACAGAAATGTAAAACATTCAGATTTTATATTAAAATTATACATTATGTGCAGCATTTGTGCTTTGTGCAACAAGTTCATTTTTATGCTGTAAGGTAGTTTTTGATTTTGAAAAGCAACGCTGGGAAGAAGAAAACCATTTCTAAGCAAGAGCTGCATGTATAAATTAGAAGAGGCGACGTGCAAGGAGAACTTACATTTCATCTTCCTAGCTACTTTTTGAAGAAAAGATCCAGATCTTCAAGCAGATCTCCACAGTCAGGAACCGTTGTTTAAACTAGAATAAAATATAAGATTTGAATTTTGCCTTTTATATGTTAAAATGTTGTGGGTGGGTGTTGTTTTAATGGTGTATAATCTTATTAAACAACCAAATGCATGAAGTTATCTCAGTAGCCTTAGTGCAAGAATAAGAAACATTTAGATATGGCTGAGCTCAGTGGTGGGATTCAAATTTTTTTACTACCGGTTCTGTGGGTGTGGCTTGGTGGGCATGGCATGGTTTGATGGGCGTGGCTTGGTGGGCATGGCAGGGGAAGGATACTGTAAGATCTCCATTCCCACCCCACTCCAGGGGAAGGATACTGTAAAATCTCCATTCCCACCCCACTCCAGGGGAAGGATACTGTAAAATCTCCATTCCCTCCCCACCCCAGGGGAAGGTTACTGTAAAATCCCTATCTCCTCCCGATCAGCTGGGACCCAGGAGGCAGAGAATTGATGGGGGTGGGGCCAGTCACAGATGGTATTTACCGGTTCTCCGAACTACTCAAAATTTCCGCTACCGATTCTCCAGAACTGGTCAGAACCTGCTGAATACCACCTGTGGCTGAACTTCACTTCTCAGAGAATTCAAACAACATGGCCAATGGCTCAACCACAATAGGTCCCACATTCCAGTTTCATATATGTGTAATGTGCTTGATGTGCTTTGTTTTTGTTTCAGCAATCCTGCATGACTCAACTGAAGAGAGTCCAAAAATTTATTATATTTATTATATCACTAATAAACAAGATGTTCCCTTATATCAGGCTTCAGTGATGGGTTGCCCCCGGTTCGGACCGGTTCTATAGAACCGGTAGTAAAACTGGAGGAAGGCTCCGCCTACTGAGCCCAAAGTCATCAGAATGCTTTTACGCATGCACAGAAGAGTGCACATGTGTGCTTGCTTCACGCACACGCGCACACGCGCACAGTCCCATTGTGAACCGGTAGTAAAGATAAGTAGAACTCACCCTTGTCAGGCTTATATATAGAAGGCATAGGAGGCATGATGAAAGAAAGAGGAAAATCAACCTGCATTTCTAAATGTATATATTTATTATAAAAAACCATTTGAATCAGAATTATTCAACAAGGGAAGGAACTAGATAAAGCTAATCTTAAAGCTGAAATGAAGTGGTAGTTTTTCTTACCATCTTTCCCCTTTTTTCAGACCGTCTAAGTATTATTTTATAGCGACCAAGGCATCAGTAATTTTAATTGTTACAGATTTCTTAGCTCTTCCAAGATTGTGTAGACTTTTATGAGACCAGAGTAGTTAGAGGTACAAAAGTTCACACATTCTTCATAGAAATAAGATTTAATGAAAGTTGAAATTAAGGATTATAATATATATTCACATATTTGTCAGTAATTTGCCCAACAGCAAATATACCGTCTGCAATACTTGTGCCTGGCATAAAGCTGCACTACATTACCTATAATTTTTTTCATTGTCATCTTTTTTTCTAATAGACATCAGTTAGAATTTTATAAAAAAAACCTTCTCCTCATTCCTTCACTTTAGTTTCATCCCCAATTATTCAGTTGTTTTTATTTCTAATTTTGAAAGCTCCCTGCCTTCATTCATTTCTGAAGTAATTTTTTACTTCCATCAAAGCACAGTTATTTTCCCTGCCTCTTAACCATCTCTTGCTTTCTTCTTTATGGAGGAAATTGTGTTCTATAGTATGTCTCTTACATGTTGATATATAAGTCATTGATGGTTCCTGAATATTTCTTCCTTTGTTTGTGTGTTGCATTAAATATCAATGAATCCAGACATGATAGCCTTTAATTAAGGTTATTAAAGCTTAAACCAGTGATGGCTAACCTTTTTGCCATCGCATGCCAGGAGCGGGGGGGGGGGGAGTCGTGCACGCGCCTACACCCATAATTCTATGTGTCCTGCCTCCAGGCATGCGCGCGCATTCCCCCTGCTCCCCCCGTTCCTGGCACCCGATGGCACAGTAGGACCATTTTTTGCTGTCCCCAGCCTCCAGAGCCTTTCAAGGAGTCTGGGGAGGGTGAAAACGGCCTTCCCCACCCCGCCCGGAGGCCCTCCGGAGGCCAAAAATGGCCTGTTTGCCAACTTCTGGTCCCACTCCTAGAAAGGCTCTGGAGGCTGGGGAGAGAGAAAAACGGGCCTTCCCCACCCCCCGCCCCCAAGGTCCTCTGGAGGCAGAAAACAGCCTGTTTCCCTACTTCTGGTGGGCTCAGAAGGCCCCAAAATAAGCTGAGCTGAGCTTGCGTGCCTACCGATATGGCTACGTGCATCACCTGTGGCACGTGTGCTATAGGTTTGCCATCATGGGCTTAAACCATCTTTCTAATATAAATGCAACCATTTCTACAGTAACATTTTCACACGTACTAATAATGGTGTTTTTTTTAAATAACTTTTCCTATTAAATGGGATGCAGGGTCAAAGCATTAGAGCAGGGATGTCAAACTGGATTTCTTCGAGGGCTGGATCAGCATTGTAGTTTGCCTCCGCTGGTGGGTTGGCCTCCGCTGGTGGGTTGACCAAAACGGGGGCCCCCCGCACCTGGTTTTGGCTGCCAGAGACACTGTATCTTTTGAGTTTTGAATTCATCTCCCCACTTTTGGCAGGATGTACTGGGGAGGAGGATATTATATATTATAAGGTAAAAGGTAAAGGTTCCCCTCCCACATAAGTACTAGTCGTTCCCTACTCTAAGGGGCGGTGCTCATCTCCGTTTTAAAGCCGAAGAGCCAGCGCTGTCTGAAGACGTCTCCA